AGCATCAACATTGTTGTTATAAGAAAGAAAGTTGGCTATAATAAAAACTGGATTGAAAAACTGAGGACATTTATTCTCATGATGACATTAATATATTGCCATGGACATAATTGCTCTCAGGCTGTTTATTGATGTTACTGATTTAATTTGTGTTTTGGACTAGAACAAAAAACAACACACAACCCTAATGTATCTCCGACCACGTTTCACACCAGACTGACGTCTAGAATGAAATGCCAGGAATCGTACCCACCAGTAGCCACTAGTAATATATTACTTTTGTGTTTAGTGGAGTGTTTGTTCATGAAATTTTCATTCTAATTGCTCTGCCATTATGAAAAGTTATGTGTCAGCTCCTATTGCAAATGGCTGTGCAATACTGATCATTACTTTTATTTCTGAAAAATCTGAATTGAGTAGCTTTAATGAGTTTCCAGGGTACAGGACCTGACCCAGACTAGTCTCAGAACAGCTTCAGACATGAGAGGTGGCTGTTAACATTATGATACCTCAGACAGTTTGGACATCGTTCCTGGCAGCAGTGGCCGGCTGAACTTCTTCTGCGAGCCAATGGCTGCTGGGAAGGGAGGAGCTGAGAACATGGCGGCCACCGTGTTGATTCGTGTGATCCAAGATTGCATCTGTTCTGCGTTCCTGTGATAATAACACACACACAGTCACAACAAACAACCACCAACAGCTCTCACGGTAAAAACACACTTATTAGGTCCCCTCCATGGTGCTGTAAGGCTAGATGACAATATCAAAAGGATAAGTATTGGAAAATGCAGCCCTACTGTTGATAAAGATATTCTCTTGAAGCCAATTAATGCATGAGAAATGGGGGCCTGTTTTACACTAGGAGACCCATTAGGAGCCCATAAGAAATATCAGACTGAATCAGACAACCTTGCTTAAATCCCTGGGGAGAAATGGAGAGACAGAAAGAGAGATAGACAGACAAAGAGGAGAAAGAGAGGAAGAGGAGAGCAACACAGAGAGGGGTTCAGTATCTGGGACAAATTCAAGCTGCAACTAGAGCACAGAGCCCGTCCTCCTGAGGGTGGAACGATGCAGCCACTCATGTGCCACTTCCTGGACCCTGCTAGCACATGCATGCCGTACACACCTTCACCTTGGTCTCAACATTCACCCTACATCCTGCTCAACATGCGCAAGTGTCACTGCTCCACGTGTCCTCAGCATCTAGTCTCTGCACACCACAAGCACATGTGCACAGCTGGCGGAGGCTAAATGCTCAGCTGTGATTAACATTATATGGCCAAATGTATGTGGCCATCCATATGTGCACTAACTGCTGAATGTATGATTACAAAGCATGAATCTGCTGCTATAACCGCCTCCACTCCACTGGCTCAGGCTTTCCACCATATTTGAACCCTGGCTGAGTAGTGAGGTCCAACACTGAAGCTGGGTGATGAGGTCTGGCTCGTAGTGTTCCAGTTCATCCCAAAGGTGTTCGACGGGGTTGAGGACGGGGATCTGTGCAGGCTGGTCAAGTTCTTCCACACAAAACTACACAAGGTCACTGTCATACTGACACAGGACAAGATCAAGTACAAGTGTCGGAAGAACAGTTGTCTAAAAGTGTTTGTCTCAATTACACAGTTCCAGCTGGTTTTCTCCAGTAGGTCCAGTAACCTGATGTCTAAAGTAAACTCATGCTGCCATGTAGGTGTGTATAGTATGTGTCCATGTCAGGTCTGCTACTCTCTATGCAGTATCTCCACTCAGTGAGAAGCATAAAATGGGCAGACTCACGGTGCCTGTAAGAGGTATACCCTCCAGTCAGCCGTCCGCAGGTAGAACACGTTGGGCCTTTTGCTGTAGTCTGAAGCTTTCATGGCCAGAGAGTGGTGGATGGACACAGCGTTCTTCAGGTCCTCATCAGACAGCTGCTTATCAGGCCTATACTCCCCCTGGCATCACAGTTATAAATGAGGAATGAGTGCTATGATTACCACTGAGGGCTTATAACAATTACTGCAGTTGGTGAGAGAAAATGGCCATATACACACAACAGTTTTGCTTCCACCCCTTATGAAAACAACTGATAAGCCCCAGTCTGGAAAAGCATAAGACGATCATGATGCACTCTGTGTTCCATCTACAGACTAAGATTATTTCAGACACTTACTATACAATCAAAACCATGTTTTCTACTATGTCCTTTTTATTTATTCATCAAAAGAAACCAAAGTTCTTGGATATTAAACACAAGCAGCTGTGATAACCTTTGACTCTAATACAGGATAAAATTAGCTAAATTTGGGTTGAATTTCTGAGCTATCTGATGGATAATGAGGTAAACAAAAGACTACGAGTCCCAACAGGCATTCGATGGCAACTTTTCAGTGCACACATGTTTGATACTTCCAACACACGCCAGTCAGTAGCTATAAAAAAGGTTAGAGTCCTAGAAGCTGCAGAGTCATTACAGGCTCATCACTGATGCTATATTTTCTCTCCAGTCAGGGAGGAAGCTGGAGCCACAGTGGCCTGTTGTGCTGGTGGAGGTCAGGTCTACCAATGCATATGGCTCCTCTGCTCAGCGCCAGCTCCTCCACATTATGGCCTAACACTTTTAAGACATGCAAACAGGAAACAGGCATCAGGATACACCTCCCTGTAGCTGCAAAGATGATTGTGGTCCCTGATGTTTCATTATAATAAAGCCTTACAGGGGACTGTAGGCAGGATGAACATGTTTGTTTGCTTTCTACAGACATCCACAGGTATACCTGCTACAAATCTCCTGCTGGTCTGAATGCAAAACAGAATGTTTATAGAGATGCAGTCACCTGTTACTTTAAAGGTTGAATAATGAATATCAAGTAGTAGCAGTTATAAACAGCTTCTCACACTATCTTTTAGACCTTTTTACTTGGCACATGTTAAAAAACTGCAGTACTGTGAGAGACTTACTTTCTGCAGATAGAGAATCAGCCCTTTCAGGATGGCGTAGAAGGTCTTCCACCCTCGCTTTCCTCTTGGTGCTGTGAGGAGACAAAATGTGTTAACATTACACCTTAATCTAAGGAAACACTATCTAATATCTTTTTTGTTGTTGTTGTTTTTTAAAGTTTCACTTATATAAGCAGTGTCAAAACTGAGTTTTTTGAACTTTTACTTGTAATGGAGTACTTTTACACTGTGGTACTGGCACTTTTACTTTTAAGTAAAGGACTGGAGTACTTCTTCCACTACTGCGTTTATGTGAAATGATCAAATGTTCCACAACAGCTACTAAACCTTGATGTGGGATTCAAGCTCAAGAAGAAGAAACCGAACCATAGGACGGACAAACATGGCGTACTTCTCTTGCCATCCGAGTCAGCGTGGACTTTGCGGACCAAGAACCCGTTTTTGTACAGCAGCGTTCCCAAGGGCTGCATCTCATCTGACCTGTGCTTCCCGCTGCCACCCACCCCCTTCATGGATCTGGGAGTGTTGGAATCGCACAGGCTGTCCCCAAGCTCCGAAAATGACTTCCGCAGCTCTTCCTTGTCGCTATGGAGACAGAAAAAACAAAAACCGGACTCCATGGTGAGCAACACTTATGTGTCATGTCTCATTAGCAGCTACAAATAAACACATCACTCATCCTGTCCATGTGCCTCTCACTCTGCGCCTGTTTCACAAGGAACAGCACAGGACAAGAGGTTCAGAGGGTTCACACGCTTACTGGCAAACTTTTATTACATACAGGACACATGAGTAATAACAGTGTGCACTGCCGGTGCCTTGTTGCACAAGACATTCACAAAGCATCGTGTATCTGGGGAAAACTGAGTGAAGGAAGCTGTATCCTCCTCTCCCTGTGCTCTGCTCCTGTTATCCCCAGAAGCAGTCTCCACTCTTCTTGATCAGAAAATACAACAGCAACAGAGTGACACCATCTATCTTCTTCCTGTTTAGAAGTCAAAAACAGGGGCACCTTCACCACTACTCTTCATCCTGCTAGAAGTAAGACAGGACACCTTTGAGGGCAACACAAACTGAAGCTTTATAAAGAAGGGCAGAGGGTGGAAGACTCGTATTCCATTGATTATATCCAATATTTAGCATATTAGAGATGATAATTCAACATATAACAAACAATGTGAGTCTTAATTTATAGGTCAACATGGATGGGAAGTCATTAAAAAGCTCAGTGTGTGTAGTAGTGCTGTTTGAAAGCTGCTACAAGCAGCTGAAAGTGTTGACATCTTTTAGTGCAACTCTTTTAACCTGATGTTTGAACAGACTTATTTTACAGGCTTTATTGTTTACACATTTATTATATTCGGTATAATAAAGCGTTTTATTTCATGTCATTGGCCTTTATCCGTTTTACCTATTTTATTTTAATCTATTTTATCGTTTTATTATCTGATGTTTACCATTTTTCTTTTTTAAAATCTGCGGTGTGCTCTTTACATTTCTTATTATTATCAGTTTGTCACTTATCTATGAAACACTCTGAACTACATGAACCTGAACAAGTAAAATCTGGTCTGCTGATTGAAATCTGGCCCCCCGGGCCATCACTCTGATGAACACTTGACCCATGACAGTATGACTGGACAATAACCCTCAGTGCAATACCAGTAAATATATACCTTGTACATATTGATCCGTTGAATCCAGACTGTGTGTATATAGTACTTTATTTTTACTCCTAAGGCACATTCCTTTGCTTGATTGCACATTACTTCTTTACTTCTGTTCTCAGCCTTATATTGTTTACTCGCCCAGTGCTGCCTTACATAAGGCCATGTACATACACATTGAGAGCTGCTGTACCCTCGTGTGTCCAACACACCTGGCCAATAAAGCTGACTTTGATTCTGACTGTAATCACATATTTTCTTGGTATTTTACAGCATAGTGATGAGTGTGGTCATCACTGTAGGCCCAAAATGTCTGAGATAAAAAGCTGTTGTGCCTACAACCACTCGAATCTCAAAGTTAATGAGGAGAAAATGTTCACTTTTCCAAGAAGGAGACCTGCCCTGGACTTGATGAAGGCTGTTTGCACTAAAACTGCAGAAACAACATCAAACACGTTAAAAGCCAGTTAGAAGGAGAGGCAGCTCATGCATTTTATTTCAACTTGCATCTTAATGGCCATCACTCCTCTCGGTATAAGTTAATTGCTGAGATCTGGAAATGCTGTAAAACGCTCAAAAGAAGTCAGAGAAGAAGAAATGGTGGCTAAACTACAACAATGAGACCCAGGAGGCATCATTTAAGGTGGAGAGGAAAGCAAGTGTACTACTGTAAATCCAGGTCAACTAATGCTGTGAAACTGCAACGCTGGCAATATAATGAACCTTCCCGGACTCTGTTCTTTATTACACAGAGTTTTCAGGCAGTGAGTTGTGGCTGCTGGACTGAGGGTGCACTGTCCACACAGGCCTTGAGGAAACATCTTTGTAAATGAGGATCCTGATGAGCTGCAGAGTCTCTGACGGTAGCTTTGTTTCTTGTGAACGGTGCCTGGGTGAGAGGACGTCCTGGAAAACAAGCCTCACCTCAGTACATCTTTTTTATCCTGTCCTGTTTAGTTTTTATCTTGTGTACTTTATTCCTGTGTACTAGCCCCTTTATCTGTTTTATTTTGTCCTTTTGTTCATCAGTACTGTTATATTATCATTTTTAAATGTTTGATTATCCAAATTTTAGTCTTATCTGTTTTATGTATTTTGTGAGAAGAAGCAGCAGCTTTATTTTATTGTCATTGTGACACGTACAATGAAATTTAGCTTGGAGCCAAGGGTCCAGGGCCGCTGCGTGCATACGCGCCGCCATCATAACTATTATATTTTGTTACAATTTTTGCTTTATTGTACATTCAAGTCTACCAGCTACTTTTTTTATTAACTTGTTTTATTTATCTTATTGTTTCATTACATTTTTAAAATGTTCTATAATACATTATACATTTTTTATGTTTTGTACATATAAAAAATATAAGACACTTTTGTAAACATATTACTGCTGTAGCAATGTGAATACATTTAATCTCTCCTAAATAATTTAAAATATTTTGTAATGCACACTAAAAACACTCAGTTGACAGTTTATTAGGTACATCTAGCTACAACTAAATTAAGCTATTCCAACAGTCCTACAGTAAATCCTCCTTGGTGCTGCTGTTGCACTGTACTGCATTATACTGCCTGGTGTTTGTCAGAAACGGAGCGTGTAATGCGGCTGAAAAGTGTTAGGTGAACTCAATTAAATGGCCAGACGAGGAAGTGTAAAACAAAACCGTCTCTTTATTAAGAGAACTAACGTTGAACAAAAGAAAACCATACAAGACACGGTGAAAACACAAAACTCACATGTCCTTAACAGTCCGAGGTCAGAGCCAGCAAACACATCCAACAGAGGTGATCCAAAATACGTAGTCCAGAGGGAAGTCCGATATCATACACTGTGGCAGTCCGAGACAAGAGGGCGAAGCAGAAACGAATATACCAAATGTAACAGTCCGGGTCAGAAACACAAAATACCAAAACCGAAGAAAATGCTGGAAAGTCAGAGCTGGGGTCTAGAACAATCTGGCAGCGTCCTGGTGGGAGGTCGCTGCCTAAATAGAGGTGCAAACAATAACGAAACAGGTGAAACCAATGTGAGTGATGATGAACGTAAAAAGACCGAAACTAAGGTGAAACAAAACGTCAAAATAAAAGCCGGACAGGAAGCAGCGGAACCGAATCATGACAGTTTCTGCTTCTTTGTCTACCCCATTTATATCAGTGAGGCTAAGATAAACACAACAGCAGCACAAACTCCTGCCTCTTCTGACACATCGTGTGTATCAAAATATATTACAGATAATTTAAGTAAAGGACAATATGGATTTTGCTTGAATGGTGGACCTGGAAGACTCACTGCTACAGCAGTGATAATATCTGCTAAATAATTCACCACAATGCACAGACTCTTATAGTGGTTTTACAGGGATTTGTCACATTAGCAGATTATACAGTAGATGCTTTAGGCTATAACAGCAAACATGTCTGTGTCTGCACAAGGAGGTAACATGGCAATTCCACTTGTTACCTCACAAGGCGGCACCCGTACGAAAGTTCAGCCTGAAAATAGAAAAATGGTTGGATGCCGAACCCCCTGAGGCCATGCTATGAGTAACCAACAGTACATAACAGCAGTTAACCCCATGCAGCAGCTAGAGAGAACGAGAGGCAGAGACGGAGCCAATGAGCATTTAGCCTGTTGCCTGGTAACTGCTGGCCTGCCTGCATCCCTCTCCACACAGAGACAAAGTAGAGAGGAGCTGGAGAGTAGGGGGATGGATGGAGGAGAAACAGAGACAGAGGAAACATGAGCAGAAGAAGGAAAGACAAAGCTGAGCCTCCTCAGATGGCACAGTGGTATGAGTGAGAATGGAAAGATGAGGGATGTTAAGGAGATGAGAGGAAAGGAAGCAATATGGAAAGGACATGAAAAGAAAGGAAAGGAAAAGAGGGGAGGGGAGAAACAACAGAAACAAAAGCACAAAGGAGGAGAGGAGAAGAAAGGAAGAAAGGAAAGGAAAGATGAAGAGAAGCGGGTGAGAGGAGATGAAAAGAAAATATTAGCAAGAAAAGGTGGTGGGAAAAACAAAGCTGGCAAGAAAGGAAAAGAAACAAGCAAAATGGAAAGAGAAAAGAGAAATGAAAGGAAATAAAGGACAGAAAAACAAAAAAGAGAAGAAAGAAAAGAAAACAATGGAAGGGGGAAAGCGACAGAAGAAAAAAGAAACAAAACAAAGGAAATTAACTAAAAGAAAAAAGAAAAACAAAGGAAATGAAAGACAGGAAAGGAAAAACCACAGAAAAGGAGGCGATGCTGATACGATGTGAAGTCGGACAGACGGCCCAGGTGACAGAGGAGCTGCAGATGTTGCTGCATCTTTTTCATCTCTGCTAAACAGCAACAACACTGCAAACACAGTGAAGTGAAAGAGGACGACTAATTCATTCAAACATGACAACACTGCTCCTCATTCACTAGGGCTGCTGCTTTATTTCATCTCTGTATTACCTTTATATCATCCAGAGAAGGGTTTATTTAAACATTTGTTAGATTTTCAGTGACTATTCTGAAAGAATTATGTGTAGATATCTCATCTTTAATAGGGCTGGAATGATGATTCAAGCCATGGAGGGAGGAGAGGAAACGGGATTAGCAGAACAAAAGCAATAACAGCTCCACACTCGTCCTTCGATGCACAGCTCTGCACCTTCCCGTATCTCTGACTTGTTGCATCTGTCTTTCATTACACAATGCCCACCACCACCTCTTCTGCTCTCCACCCCCACTGCTGAATGAGGAAGCATGTGTGTACAGTACTGTACATTTCTGTGTTTTGTGTGTGTGTGTGTGTGTGTGTGTGTGTGTGTGAGAGTGAAGAACATGTGGGTGCATCCAACTGCAGCGCTGCGAGTGGCCATGTGCGTGTCTCTCTGTGGGGGTGTGAAATAACTTCTATTGCCATTAATGTTTTTAGATTGAGGGGCACAAAAAACAGCACGCCCACACAAACACACACCTGTGATGAGTTGCCAGTTTTCACATATACAGTTCATATTTATGTAGTCACTTCAAGCGGTTTGTTTCACACGTCTTTCACATGTCCATGACTATACTGTGATGTTTTTTAAGCTTAAATCTGGGAGGAAATGACTAAATCAATGCTGGCCTGGCCTATATATAGAAAGGAATAGAACACAGTAGAATGGACACCTCACTGTGCTGTGATTACAATTTGCAAACTGCAAACCATAGTTTCCCAATGCAGAGCTCAGGTCTATCTGTCACAGGCTGTTGGTCCCTGGGTTGTGAAGTGAGAAAGCCTACTCTGCGTGATGAAATGTACATTAACTAAGCAAGCGGAGTGTGAAAGCAGTGGCAAACAGGGCACAGTGCTCTGCTTTCAAATAAGGCTTGTAAAGCAGAACAGCAGCACAGACAGGCTCTAATCCAGCTAAAATATTAACAACAAACATGTGTCCATACCAAAAAAATCAGTCTGCTGTGGGATTAATCCCTTAATCTGTAATTCTGTTTGTTTGGAGGTGCCTTTGCTTTTGCTTCTTTTCTATCACCACGCAGCTTCTTATGCAGAGGCACTGTTTAAATAGACGTCTATATGTCTGTTGTCCTCCTTGATCTGCTCTGGCCACTTTTAGCTGCTTTGAGATTTGCTGCTATTTTTGGAAAGGTAGTGGGAGGCTGTGGTCACACCTCTGTACAGGATGCAGGTAAAGAGCCGTTTAAACTGAGTTACCTCTCTATCTCCTAGTCACCGTCTCTTTTTGTGCTCACATATGAAGAAGCCAACATGCACGCGCGCACACACACACAGATGTCTTCCCTGTGTGGATCTACAGTATACGTCCACTATCTGTTGGTGTCTGTGTGTGTTTGCTGCTGAGAGAACACAGAGAGGAGAGATGCGAGCAATGTGGTAACTATGGAGTCGTATCCATGGTGCTGTAACTATGGCAACAAAGCTTGGAAAGCGAGTGACTTAATTGGCATCTCTGAGGCACTCTGAAGCTGCGATCCAGAATAGCAACCCTTGACACACTAATCTTTCCTTCACATGCCAGACAACACTCGCGTCGTTAATGAGCTTGCTAAGAAGTTAATCGATATCCTTCACTGTTCCCTGTGTGCATAGTGCAAAGTGAGGCAGACGCTGGGGCAGAATGGAGGATAACTTTAAAAAATAGTGTATAAGGTGAATAATAGTGCATAATTACTCACAGTGTCCAATGTAGCTTCTGATTCTTTATTGAGTTGTAGAGAGCCTGTAGAGGAAAATGAGAAAATCACAGTTTCAGAAAAACATGGCAAACAGCAGCTATGTTCAGTTATGTTTGGTTGGAGATTTCATTGAATATTAAAGGGCAAAGTATTGTAGATTTCTGTGAAAGCTGCTTTGTTTTCATTCAGTAAAAAGTACTCAGAGAAATGTCAGCGCTTTTCACACTGCACAAACTACCCCTACATCGGACACAAACACATCAACGCACATGAAGCAAAATCAAGTTACAGCTTAGGAACATGAACAAAGACGGAACACGTCTGCACCGGAGTTGGCTTTCATTTGTCCAAATGCTCCAGTGCTGAAAAAGTTAGTCATTTACCAAGGAGTCAGTTGACAGGAAATTTATTTCCAGCACCTTAAAGGGTGTTAAGTATTTTTTCAGTTTCAGTTACTCAACTGTAAATATCTGCTGCTTTGCTCAGTTGTAAACAACTGTAAATGTTATAAAAGTATAATTCAGTTTGTCAAAGAAATAACTATTAATTCATTAGGAAAGCATTCATTAGTAGTAGCAGCGATGGATGAAGCATTATGATATTTTCCTTGAGCAAAAGTAAAAAAAACCTGTGGATATACAGTACAGTGTTTCATTTACCTTTGATTTGCTTTTAATATACAATTTCAGAGGATGTTTATGTTTTGTAGGTTAAAGTAACTGTAGCATAAAAATGAGCAATTACTGTAAATAAACATGTAATATACCTTACATTTTCTTCCACCATTTCACAGTAGTGGGTGAAACAGATAAAATCGCAGTAGTAATAATTTTCATAATAGTCATATATATATATAATGATATATTACTCCTTAAATAAATAAATCCATAGAAAATTGTTAATGGACAAAATAAATAGAAGGACGTGCCATTTTTTGACAACTCCATCATGTGAAATAACTGAAACATCAAGGAAAAATATTATCCATAAAGCACTGCTCAGTGATTTGCAGCAACACACAGTACAGTCCGAGAGCCCTCCCCAGTATGGATGACGACACAGCCTCTCTTATGACTGGCATGTTTATATCGTCCAACCCTAGTTGCACCAACAATATGCAGCAGTCTCGTAGCATCACTGAAGACATGTATGTTTGTGCATGTGCGTTTGGGCTAATTTCTACAAACTTTATTTGGGTTATCTTTTCTGTGACTGGATGTTCACTCATTTAGTTTTTAATTGTTTCTGGGTCACTGATTCCACTCACAGGAATAAAAAACTTTTACTTTGATCATAAACAATATAAAAAACCAACATACACAATACCAGAGCAGAGAGAATAAATAAGGGTTTGATGAAGGAGTATCTCTGCTGTGAAAGGCTATTCAGGCTTTTGGCTTTATCTTCCTCAGAATCTATAGCGACAGCCAAGACCTTTAGACATGGTCAGCGGCCGCCAGCGATGTTGCCAGTTAAATGTGATACAGCAACTCGGCTTCACAGCCGGTCTGAAGTGAGAGGAGGCAACATGAAGCCACCGGCCTCGAGTGTTCAGGACTAGCTCGAGGCGGACATCACCTCGCTCACCTCTGACCACAACCATACGCTGTCTGTGCAGGAAGAAACCTCAGCTAAAATGGATCATTTTTAATTAAGGTCATCTGATTAAAAAAAATGCTAATGGCCATCACTTGAATTCTGCATGTGTTGGATTTGATCCTTTTAGAAATATCACAGTGAAACAGGATATTTAATAGGCTTTGATTCATGTCTAATCAGGTTCATTTCCAGTGTTTTCTTTGAAATTGCACCTAATCAGAGATTTTTCCAGAGTGTCATGAATATTAATGACCAACCAGCCTAGACCATTATAAGTTTAGTTTCCATACTGAGCTACTGTAAAATGTCACCATTCAAATTATGTTTCCTACATTTTAATGATGCCAAAAGACAGAAGTGCAGCTGAGCTTCCCAGCTTCAAAGTGGAAGACAAACTGCTTGTGTTGCACAAATGTCAAATATTAACAGTGGAATTGTACGCTGCAAAAGTACAATGATCTGCAACAGCAGCCACAGACTCTGTTGGCACAAGTTTATTATCTGCATGAAAACTGCTTCGCTTTCCAAAACTGGGCTTTGTATAGAAAGCCATTACCCTCCAACTAAAACGGTGAGAACAGATAACATGCAAACCTTTGTATATAAATATCTAATTATTTATATAGAATTTAGCAGTTAATATATACTCATTGCTCAGTTTATTAGAAACAACCACTGTAGCTCAAACTGAGTCAGTCTAGTCCAACAGTCCTGCAGTAAATCCTTCTTCATGAAGGTGATGATGTCCAGCTATTGCTCAGAGGTGTTGGCTCACATGCATGATCGCTATAGAGGATGGAGCTTGAGCTGCTGTAGGTGTTTCTATTATTTAGCCTAGTCTCATTGATATAAATGGGGTGGACAAGATCATAAAAATACAGTCATGATCATATTATCATCTTCATGAAGGAGGATTTATTGCAGGACTACTGGATTAGACCACGTTAGTTTTAGCTAGGTGTGGCTAATACACTGTCTACCGAGTGTACACACAGTCAGTTATAAGGCTGTGACAAATTAAAGATGAATTTGCAGAATATTTTCTCAGTTTATCATCTGTCTACATGTGAAAAATGCCCAGAGGGGACATTATAAAATTGCTTGTTTAGTGCACATAAGACAAAGAAAAGCCACAAAGTCCGATTAATCAGTAGCTCATTATTATCCTGGTTGATTTAGTCAGTAATTATGATAATTTTAAAGTTGGTGCACATTACTGTTTTCTTTCACGTGTTCTGATAAATGTATACATTTGCATATTCAGTATGTCTATTTGCCTAAGCTAAGTAAAATATACCGTCTGCTGAAACGGTGTCACAGTTTTTCTACCAATAGTGAATATTTTTCATTTGTAAAAAAGTCAGCATTGTACTGTAAAACCTGAGGGAACGCACTGTGTCAACAGCAGCGGTGCTCTGTGGATTTAAAGACAGAAGAGGAGCCAAGTAAATAAAAAAAGGCAGATGGAGGTGAACCATGAATCAGAGCATTGGTCAGACTGGACAAAGTTGGATGCTCATCACCTTCACCTACTTGCTTCCTTGACACTTCCAAGTGTCAGCAAATGAGAGCCTTGAGTGATAGATGTACACAATATGCTGCTCTGAGCTGTGGTGTGTGGCCCATCAGGCCCTGCAAGCTTCTTCCTCAAACTCTCTCCATGTGTGAATGTATTCAAACAGCTGGGATGGTACATCAAACAAATTCAGACTACGGCAATTTGCCGCGAGTGAAACAAGGGAAATAAATGTAGGTGCAAAAACCAGACTGCCTGACAGATCTGGCCAGCGGGCTAACATCCAGTGTGACGCTGGGTAATATCATTTGTTCTGACGTGTGTCACACTGATATGAAATGAAACTGAAAAGTGATTCATCTCTGGGCTCTGAGATTAGTGTTGAGGGTCAACTGACAAGCTGTTGGTGAATGTGTCTCAGTGACTTGGAAAAGTAAGAGTAACTAGAAGTAGCTGACAGTTTGCAGTACCTTCCTCCTCTTTCTGGCCTGTGGATGGTTCTGGCCATCCTGAGCCTTGCCCAGCAGGTCTGGAAACACCAGTGGTTTGAGCGAACGTGAGCGTGGGGTTCTGGGATAGCGGAACGGGTCCATCATCCGGAAGTCCCTTCCGTAGCGCACAGTGCAAAGAGAGCGCGAGCGTAGGCGTCCCGCCGAGTGCAGGCTGTTAACACCAATCATGGTCAGAGAGGATGCTGCACGGATCACACAGAGCTTGGCTTCAAGGCCACAGAGAGCTGGACATTTAAAATCCGCACAAATGATTCAGTCTGTTTTTGAAGTGCTGTAGGAAAAGAAGGAGAAAGAAGCCGCTCCAAAGAAAAAGTGAAATGAGGTCCGTCTGATCTGGATGCTGTCCAGTAAACACTGATGTTCCAACAGACAGCTGGAAGTGAATTCAGCTGTTACAGAAAGCAGCTGGTGATCAGTGGAGATGGCAGAGGGAAGCAGCGCATCATCAGGCTGCTGTCACATCAGTCAGCAGCAGCAGCGGACCCCACCAGTCTCATCCCTCTATGTCTTGATCACCACCCACTGTGCAATGCCAGGGTGCACACCTGATGCTCAATTATTGATAAGGCAGCCATGCGTTATACATGTAGAAAAGCAGCTCCCTTGATGTCTCCTGAGACAAGGCAAGACTTTCGCCTGCAGGTGAGAATGAGTGACATATCCAGCGCTTCTCTTCCAGTGTGAGCTCTCAGGCAAGTCTATTGAAGTTCAAAGGGAAACTAATGACTGTAATTTCTCCAGGTGACTGTTTAGAAAAGGGTGAACACACTCTCTCTGCAAGTCTCTGCCAAGTTACCCAGCAGTGTCCAGCGAAAGCCAGTGACAACACACAGAGGGACCCAAGCTGACGTTCTCACAGATGGTATGAAGCGGTGGCAGAGGTGTGAACGAGCGGCTAGCGTGAAACAGATGGGTGCACAACGTGGAACTGAAGAGGTACAAAACACAGGCGTACGATAACCTCCCTCTGTTTATATGAACATGAGCACATACGCACAATAGAGGGGGGTACAGCCACCCTTGAACTTCAGAGCAGGGATTCCAAAGAGCACCCACAATTTTGTCACAAGCCAGGAGATGCAAACAAAATAAATGGAGAAGAAAAGCCTGAAAAACAAAGTGGGTGTAGAAAAGTGGAGACGTAGCACAAAGAATTCACGTTCCTGTTGCTCCCACTGTAAAATGGACACCATCAGTTTTACAGTGCTGATTGCCAGGTTCACTCTCTGCTCGCTGTCCATGTGTCGAGGTCCGCTGCCATCATTTACTCCTTTCCCCGTCTGTCATCCACTTCTCTTGGTGTCTTCTCTCAAGACTCTCTTTGCCCTGGTTTCTGTCTTTGCCCGTCGCACATTCAGCGGGTGTGGGTGTTTGTGGGGAACAACGCTGCTCTCCTGCTGCTGGTGGCCGTCATACC